TATGGGTAACTGTGTCTTGAATCACAAAGCATGAACTGCATATGTAGTTCATAATAACAGTCACCACTTGAAGCTCAGTAAACACTGTAAGTTTGAGCAGTTGAACACTGGAACCATTTGTAAATGTTCCATGTGCTGAGCAGGGGCAGCTGGAAATGTTAAATTGTGTGTATGTACACTGATCAAAATTGTGCACGTTTCACATTAGCTTTCTTTAGAAATGATCAAGTGCATGCATCATCATTTGAAAGATCAAAGCAGGCATATTTTTCTTTAGCTCTGAAATTCAAGCTGTGAGCTGGGCAAAAATGAAAAGACAAATATTACAATCTACAGTTGTTGGTTTGTTTTTTTTTTTTTAAATCTTTTTAAGCATCTACATTCAAGAAGAAACCCCAGTTTATACATAGAAAATAAAAAGGCCTGAACATTGTGGTTACATTATAAAATGGAATTTTGAGCATTATAACTAGAAATGTTTGTTGTGTAATGACTAGTTCCAAGGTTATACTTTTTTGGTTTTTTTTCTTCTGTATGAGGTGTTTTTTGTTTGTTTGCTTTTTAATTCTTATTTTATTGTTATTTAAGGGGGACTGGATAGCCCAAGATACTGGATAGAATTAAGAATTATAGCAGCTCAAAAGCTTCTGTACCTCCGTGGAGAATTGAAACTAGATGCGAGGTTTGTTTGGTCTTAAGCCAACCCATAGGATCCCCTCTGATGCACAGCTGAAATAGGAGTGATGTTGTGCTATCTCTACTTGAGAATTCTTAGAGAATACCTATTTCCAGACTGCTCTGCTGTGCGCTTACTGTAGGAACCAGGTTTTGGTAATTTTATATTACACTGTTGAGTGAAAGCATCTAGTTAACTGGTGTCAGTTCAAGACAGCATTTGTCACAAACTGATACTGAATCTCAAGTTGTGCTCTTACAAAATGACACAATATTACAAGCTGAAGAATGTCTTAGAGCATTGATATAATGATCACTAGCCAAAGCACTCAAAATGTATTTAGAATGAATGTGATGAGCTTAGGTTCAGACAACGTTATGTGCTTAGAGCTCTTTTCCACAGCTTGAATCTTGAGAAGAATAAATATGTATGGTAAACCAGCAGATACTTATCCCTTTATATTCTATCCTAAGGGTCAGTGGAAATAAATAGCAGCAAAAATTGGATCTACTTCTTGAGATATTTCTGATGCAGACAAGGTGCCTTATCTAGCCTTATATATCTTATAAGTTGTGTGAAATTTAGGACCTTCAGTTCTGAAACTTCAAATATCTTTTAGGATCTATGAGGGTAAAAAAGTTTCGGCCTTTTAGTTATATACTAAAATTTTGTAAAGCGCAATGTAGTGGAAAGAAACAATTCAAGCTCTCTTTGGAAGGAGATCCTATGCTCTAGAATTAGGCTTTTTCTTTTCCTAAATTGAGTCAAGGAAGTAAGATCAGATCTTGACAGACTGAGCTTACCAATGTAACGACAATCCAGGTACAGGAGGATAAATGGAAAAGATGCTCTGAGCACTTTATTCCCACACTTGCATCCCATGAGGACCTAATGACAAATCCTGGGAAGAAGTAACTTGTGTTTAACTAGCTTTCAGTAACTTTTGAGGTAGCACATGCAGATAAGGGAAAAAATACTTGCATGGCAGGCTTTAGTTTAAGTATTGTGCTCTTAATTTTTGAGTCAAAAGAGTTATAAGATCTTATGAACTGTGTATCCATTATCTAGAGTTATATTTCTGCAATGAACAACACTTCTACTAAGAAAATACTTGTCCTCTGTAATTGTACTGTGTATCCATTAAACTGAAAGATGATTTTAATTGTGGCCCCTCAGATACACTGAACAACTTTTCCTCCATCTAAACCTGAAACTTGGTCACTGCGGTTTCATTTATCTTCTCATATAGTATATAGCAATAGATTTCTGATATAGATGTGTCTGATTTGTCCCATGTATTACCACAATTCAGGAGTAATTTACTATTAATCCATTTGATGATTCCAGGAAAGCAGGAAAGGTTGAGTAAGAAATTGTTCTCTGAACATATGGCAAACATCTTTTTTTTTTTTTTTTTTTTTTTTTTTTTTTAATTCTGCTTTCCTCCTTAGGAAGTGGTATGGAATTATATTTATTACGTTGTGTATTGAAATATATTATTTCATACGAAATTAGCTAATTTATCTTTAAAAAAAACTGCAACGAGCAAAAACACTTTTTTGAATTTCAAGCTTTTCCCAAAATATTTTAATAACAAGGCTTTAATTTTCTTAGTATGTCAGGTTCAAAATTATTGAAGACAAGTTTGGTAAAAGTAGTGCTTCAACATTGGATGACCTCCTAAAGCTTTTTTCCTCATCTGATTTGCTATACAAGAACTACAATATATTTTTAAAAGATTTTTACCATACTTGTGCAGATTGTGTGCAGGAAAACTTCACAAAGTGTTTAAGCTTGACTTTGTGGTAGAAAAGTTAGAATTACAACTATTAAAGTTGTTCGGTGTTTTTTTTATGCCTAATAGAAAGCAGAGAGAATAGTTTTCTGACACTCTCACTGAATCTGACCTATAGTTAATCTTGACAAATACTTTATTATTCGAAAGAGCCTATCTTTAATTTTCTGTCTCATAAATTTGGAATTTTATGGACATGGAATTTTAAAGACAGTCTTAAATTTCCTTAATTCTGCAGAATATATGCTTGCTCTGGCACCTAAGAAAGCTACCTGTAGATCACAAACAATTTCCAATAGAAACCATAAGTTCAGTTTTTATATTTTTTAATTATCAGTTTGATTAAACTGTCTGCCCCTTTAAAGACTAGGGCATTTCTTATCCCGTTGCATCTCAAAGCAGTTGTGTCATAATACTTGGGCACTAAATAACAGGACAGCAGCATTTATGTATTGAAAAATTCTAAGTGCTTCCTGGGCATTAAGTAGGTTTTGTTTGTTTATTTTTTTTCTAGACCAAATGTCAGACATCAGCTTTATTTTTGATGAGCTGGACTTGCTTGGTTGATTGCCTCTAAATGGAAATAATGAATTGTTTTTACTGTCAACAACATTTAGCAACTCATCTTTTTGTCAGGAAGGGTCTGCTGTCTTGCTTGCCTTAATAAATTTTTGTTGGGCTACCAGCAGTTCAGTTCTTTCCAGTGCATCAGAGATGTCCTAAATTAAAAGTATAGGTGGAATACAGAATGCTATTAACATTTCTGCTAAAATAAAAAGCCTGCATTTAGTGAACTGATCTCAAATTCTTTTAGCAAGTATACTAAATATATTTGGTTACAGCAGAGCAAGTAGGAAATTGCAGTACATTATTTTCAGATAAGTTTCAAGACAGACTGTAAATTTACTGTTGTACTTCTTTAGATTATGCTCTGTAGGAAAACAGCTAAAACTAAGAAGCAAACATAATACTTGCATCACTGCAGGAGACCTGGGATGGACTTGGATAGTAAAATAATTGTGCTGATCTACTGATTCTTTTTTGTGTCTGAAATGTAACTTCTTTGGTTTTTGTTTTTCTCTGGTAACTGTGCAATACCTTCTGAGAAGTACTGTCCGTTTTTGTTATTCAGGCTAACTTGGTATGTATTCTCACATGTACTTAGTGATCACATACACAAAGGCTCAGATTTTCAGATTTGGATGATGACATCAGGATCAGGAGTAGAGAACTGAAGTTGTTGTTATGTCAGTGGCTACCTGCTGTGAAACCTGGCATGCATTCACTTCAATTCTTGAAACTGTTGTGCTGAAGCTGTGCTTCTAAGACTGACAGGAAGGTACTATGTTCTGCTCAGCCAGCAGGTACTGTTTTCCCCAGCATAGTGATATTCTCTCTGGAAATGCTGCCTTTGTGCTTAAGAGATGTAGATGAAGACATTTTTTTTTAAATGTAGTAAATAATCTAATATTGATTGTACAACTTGATGCTGCTTACTAAAACATATTTATTACATGAAAATGTAAAAAATAATTCTGCATAGCCAGTAGAAAACAAATGTCAAGACAAAGTAAATTGGTATGTCAAAAGATCTTGACTTTGTGCCCTTCTTAGATCTACACAGTTACATTTCTGTCTCAAAGTTTCTGAACATTTATCTATATATGTTGTTTTCTCTTGGTTCATACTGACTTAACAATTTATAAAGTATTTTGGGCTTGCAGAAAATATCCAAAGAACCTGATGTTTCATGTGGCAAAATAGATAGTGTTCATGAGTCACAGCTTCAACATAAATACAAATTTTAATGCACTTAATATTTGTATTTCAGTGTTGAGAAATGTACATATTGTTTCATTTAGATATGATTAGAAGGGCATGTTGTTATAAGTTCTTTATCAAAAGCTTTTGTGATTGCTTCACTTCCATATGCATCTTTAAGAACTAGAAACTTGCTGTGGGCTGAGGCTTGTTTGCACATGTCCTTCAGTGATGAGATTAACTTAAAAATAGCAGCTACACTTCACTATAAAATGTTTTATAATAAAGCTCTTGAACATTAGTGTGGCTGGAGGGGAGTCACAATGATCCATCTTGACTAGGGGAGCTACTAAAGGCCTTCTGTGTCAGTTTTCTGGTTCACCATGCTAATCCATGTACAAAGGAATCTTGGCCACAGTATGTCATGATCACTGGTTAGAACTGCCTGCACAAACTGAGACTTCAGTAGTCTGATTACATGAGTGGAGGTAAGACCCTGGCCACAGCAATGTTTTTTGCCAATAAAATGTGTTGATGAGAAATTGTAGGTAGACATTTTTCTGATGAATTGTACCAGTCTGGCTGAATTAGTAATACTGGAAACTATTTTACTTCTATAGATTATGGTTCATTTTCATGGGCAGGGTCATACTATTGCTTTATTGTTCTTCACTGCAGAATAATGGACAGTTTCTGAAAAAGCAACAACAGGGTTTGCTACAAATCAAAGTTTTTAGTGTTGTTTTTCATGTTTGTTTTACCTTTCAGGTATTTTAACACAGATTCAAGACTGGCTAGGTTGAGCAGGTGAGTTACTCTGAGAATTATTTGAAGACCTTTTTCTAGGCTTTCCCAAACATGTCCTGTTCCTTCAAGCACATACGTGTACCGTGAAGTATGTAGAAGGCAATCACTTATTGGTAATATTTGGCAAAAATATTCAGTATGCCAAATGCTCTGGATAGCAGTAAAAGCTTTGTGGTGTCTCAGGCTTTTCAGGTTTTTTCAATTTGACTGATAACAGTTGCTATACTATCTGGGGAAATAAGTATTATAGTTCAAATTGTCTTCAAACCCTTATGGCTAAAATGATTTATCTTCTGTAAAGGTCCTAAGATCCTACCTATGAAAGGAGCATGGGCACAAGAAAATAAGCTCTTTTAAAGAAAAAAATTTAAATGCAGAACTAAAATTCAATGTTCCTCTTCTGATTATTGAGGGTAGATTCCTCTCCAGGAGTGCAATGATCTCCTATACAGCAAGTAAGTGATGAAAAATGTAAATCGAAATTCAATCACAGTTACAGCGATAAACTTAATCTTTTTTGCGATGTTTCAGTCCACGTAATCTTTGCTTTAGTAATGCATTCAAATTGAGTTCTTTCAGACAGTTTAATTCATTCATACAGTAGTACAGGCTGCAGTGGCATCCTGTGTAAAACTAAAACTTAGATACAGCTGTTATGCAGATTAAATACTCTTCCCATTTGCAAATACTCTTCAACTAAAGTGCTGTGAGAGTGGATTTTTTTTTTTTCTGCCTCTTAGTTCAATAATTAATGTAGCTAACTGCAATAATACCTAGAACAACTTAGTTCTTAAAATTGTCTCATTAATTAAAGGCTAAAAGCTTGCATTGGGTAAGGTGCAAGAAAAGTACTTTTGGACTGATAAGAACCGGAGAAAACATTTGTTGCTCAGGATGCTTTTTTTGAATTGTGCATATGTTTTTCTGTAATTCTAGATCCAAATCTTGTTACTTCATTAGCCCTATCAGTTTAGAAAATAACTGTACTACTAAGAAGTACTGGATGTGATGCAGAGCAAAAATTGGAATTCACAATGTTAACTGGCAAGTATTTCTTATAACTCCCTCCTATGGAATAGTATGACTGTGAGTGTAGGATATCTAATGAATGCTTTCTGGTATGTTAATAATTTAAATTTCATTACAGGACTGCAATTTTTTTAGAGTAGATATCTAAGAATTCTTAGGAAAGTTAGGTTATCTGATTGGAAAAAAGACAAACGTTTGCAAGTATGCTTTAGGATTGTGTCAGCTTTCAGCTATGCCACAGCTATTTATATCTTGACTAGTACCAATGATTTCATTCTCTTAAACTAATGATAATAATAATGGAATCACTTGATTAACTTGAATGGCAGCTCATAATTGATAAAGTGGTTAAAATTAACAGCAGTGTAAGAATTTTCTTACTCTGCTGTCTTATGTCTAAAAAAAAAAAAAAAAAAAAAAAAAAAAAAAAAACGAAATCAAAAAAAAGAATGATAATCTGGCTTTTAAAAAATCACTGAAGAGTATTATAATAAGACTGTAGTTAAGTTCTATTGAAGATCACTGTTATTTTTAATAAAATGTAACGAAAAGATGTGGCAAATAAATAAGGACAATGTGACTAAAAATACCACCGTTATTCTGAGGGCTTTCTACAGAGACTATGCCTAGCACAGGCAAGAGAAATATTACTGCTGTGAGGGACGGCAGAGGGAGAATACTGGTCAAATTCATTTTTAAAATGAATTTTTGAAAAATATACTGGGATCGGGATAACTTTTTTGAAGTGTTAAATGGCTTACCTACTGTTATTTGAGTTGACATGGATTAGGAAAAGTTAGCATGCTGTTAGCTGTACTTCAGGTTGAACCCATTCATAATGGGTTCTTCTGACTTTAGCAAACCAAACACTGACCTCTCTTCATACAGTTTTCTATACACTGAGCTAGCTAGCTACCCAGCTAGGACTCCTACCTATCACTTAACCAAATGTTAGTGCTAATTGTAGCATCTTTTGTAGGTGGAAAACCTAGCACTTAGAAGCTGAGTTGTTTTTCTGTTCTCTTCCAAAGTATGCTCTTCGCAAGCCAGCCTTTCAACAGACTATATATAAATTGAACTGATGAGTCTCATGAAGGTACATATCACTTTGTCTGTAGATCTTCAATGAATGCTAAATCACTGACAAAGTGTAAAATTCAATTTTCTTCTAAAAAATAGGAATCTGCTCATTCATTTGGAATTTTACAGTATGTGGTTATATAATTTGCTGAATGGATGACAACACTGCTAACCAAGAAAATCCTACAATTCTGTCTCAAATAGTTTCTATTTGTGGCATTCCGAATATCAAAGATGAGACTGTATATTTGGCTTTATGTTATTAGGGCACTATGAGCATAGACTAATGTGTTGTTTTTTAGTATATTGCTGTAGCTGCCAGACCCAGACAAAAAGTTTTGAAACTCAGTTGTGATTGCAGGAGCAATTCAAGAGGAAAAGTTTGGGAAACTGTGTACTAAAAGCAGATATTCACTGGAGTCCATTTGAAGGTGGCTGATATAAATGGATATGTGCTCCTCAGTATGTGGCTAATAATGTGGATACTTCTCTTAAACAGCTAGTGCTCCAAAAGATCACAAGTTTGGAATAAGCTATGATTGGGTGATTAGAAGATAAATAATGATGCACTTCTAAGGCTTGAAGTTTTTTGACAGACCTTAGCTTCCTTGAAATTCTTTGTTTATTGCTGTGAGATCATGCTCCTGCCACTTAACCTTTCAAACACTAGAATTTGCTGCAGAAAATCACAACACATTAAATGTATGACATCTTTGCTAATTTCCAAGTGTGTCATTTTCATCTTCTGCTGCATTATGAGGGTCAGTGGTGGCAGCACTGAAAGACTAAGCAGCCAACCAGAACCTTCATACTCTCGTAGATTGATGTGTTGGTGGTTGATCTTACCAGTGTGAGCTGATTGATTTTATGAAATATTGAAGGAAATACTGCATGACTAATTCAAGTAAGATATTTTATTATTTTAAATACTACTGATTATTAAGAATACATACCTAGTAAACTGAGAATTTGTCTACTTTGAGATCTGAGGTGTTGGTAATACCAATGAGCCTTTGCTCGTTTCAGAAAATGTACGATATACCCACTTCTGACTTCAGACCTCTTACAACTGTAGGAGTCTATAAGCCAATAACCTTGTTCTGAATGTTTTCCAATTCTCACTGGAAATGAGAGGAGGGCAGCTTGATGGCTGCAGCTGCTACATTTCTGCTAGCTTTTAACTTACTCTTTAAAAGAATAGCTATATATTAATACCTTTCAGCTTCTCAACACACGTAATGAAAAGCTGGCTTGATCACTGGGGTCCCAGTGCTGGAACCTAGGGTGTGATTGTGTTATTGGAGGAATGTGGAGGAAAGATGAAGTGGCTCCACTCATGCTCCATATATTTTGTACTAGGTCTGATGCTAGATGTTTCTATGTAAGAAATAAGGGACAAAGAAGTCATTAGGAAATATAGTGATTTCCTTGGCTTTCCTGTGAGTGCATCTCAGATGAAAAGGATTTAGCTCTTCCCAACAGAATTTATCTGCAACTTGATCTGGTAGTTTGGTTTTTGATACAGTTAAACCATAGTCAGACAACTATTTTAATGTGGCATTATCCTTAACAATTTTTGTGCTTCAGGATTGAAGTGAAAGAGCTCTGATAACAGTGGAGCAATTGTGTGGGGGATCCTTAGGCAGAATACTTGCAATGGCCTCAAAAATAGTCTGCTCTCTTGTAAATTGAGGTTTCCAGTTACAACATAAGAGATTAGTGCAAGTTCTCAGCACTTTTGAAAAGAATCTCATATCAGCATGGAGGACTAGACCAAGGTTTACTTGGAGGCTGGAAACAAGTGTATTACTTTGAAAGGGTTGACAGCTTGGAATCAGTCACTAAGTAAATGTCCTCTTAAATTTATCAGTAATTTGATGGTAGATGCTAATTACCAGTTAAAAAGCTTTTATCATGAGGCATGGAAATTCTCATAGTTTTTCTAGTTGAGCAGACGCCACGTTTGGAATAATCCTCCAACAATAATCCTGATGGCTTATGGAAACATCTATAATGCACAGTCTTGACTTTTAATGCCTACAGCAGATATTATTGATGTAACTTCTGCCCCTATCACTTTCAAAAAAAAAATGGAGAAGAATCCCAAAAGTCATGGCCTTTTATACATCACAAAAACATGATAGTGAAAGTTCTGGCAGCTTAAAATTCAGCTATGCCATTCCTGAATATGTCCCAAAGATTCATGGCACTTTGAAAATCATTTTTTTCTTACTCAGGAGATTAAATATCTGTAACTTCAGCACTTCAATGAAAAGTATTGGAAAGCAAAAAAAACAAGCAAACAAAAAAACCCACCCTCTTTATTGGACAAGGCGAAATGTACAAAATAAACATTTTCTGTTTTAAATCTTTTATTTCAGTAGGAGAACTTATTCAAATTAAGGACCTGATGGCATTGCATAAATTTGGAATAATTTTTCCCCTCCATTTTCTAACTTCTGAATAAATTCTAAATCTGAACGAGGAAAACTTTCAGGTTCATGTAGCGAACATCTGCCTTCTAGAGGCTCCTGAAAGCTGCTTTTCTCAAAGGCAAAAAAAAAAAAAAAAAACAAACCATCACTATACTGTCATTTTAAAGACTTTTTTTTTTTTTAATGCCTTGAATCATGCTTTTTTTATATTATTTTCCTTTCAGTGGCTTTCAATAAAAAGAGAATAAATTTGATTCATCAACATTTACTCTGGGGACTCCATGATTACATTCAGATCAAAAACTTGATAGTATAACTCAAGTAGTTGTTAAAAGTAAGCTCTACTAATAACTGGATGTAAGAGAACTTCTGTGCAGAATCATCAAAAATGGTTGGTGTGGAATGTCTTTAACTCCAAACTATGAAAATATACCAAATTCTTTGTTTTCTTGAGACTGAATCACTAGCATTTATTTTCCTGATATCACAACTCTTTAAAAATCAAATTGCCTAACAAGAAGCAATATGCAAAGAGGTGTCTAGGATTTGTCTTTATTCAGAGCTCATGAATGATTCCAAAAGCAATAAAATTTTCATTCTTTTGAATTTTCACACACTGAAAGGACTATTATACAGTATAGAGGAGCAAATAGATATTATGTTTTCTACTTGTATCCTTGAATTTAAAGTCAGACTCTTGCAGTTGAGGATCTGCACATCAGAATTGGAACTGGTAATGCAGCCTACAGATAACTGTTTAAATCCAAACTGTGTGCTCCTAAATGTGAGAAACTGAATTCTGTTTCAATTTGAATTAAGATATTACTGTCTCCTTGAACATATTGAAAACTGCAAACACTTTTCTTTAGAAGCTTGAACATTTCTTCAGTTTTGACTTTGGCCAGCTGTATAAAAATTAAGTACCTTAAAAAGAGGAACTCAATCTTTCACTTGTACAAAATAATAATAGTACACTGCCAGAAGGAGAAGGAAGAGAGAAGTCATCAGGCTTTCTGATGACTCAATAAATAATTAAAAGGAAGAAAAACACTTGGATTCATCCTCCAGATTAAGATGTAATAAGATTTTTTTCTGTCTGTTGTAAGGATTGGCCTGAATGAAGAGGTATATGCTGACTGAAAGAAATAATACTGCAAGCTGTACAATATCCCACTGTAAAGACCGATGGAGGGACCTGAGGTTGTTTCTGTCATAATGCCAGATGTTGAGGATTGTCTGGAAAAGTTGGATCAAAAAATGGTAGAATATCCAGAAAGATGAGATTCTTTGATGTGGCTGTCATTGGCCTGTAAGATGATTTTTAACAAATTGCTTGCCTTATACCTGCTTCACTGACTCAAAATTGTTTAATGTTTTCCCATTGTGTCAAAAATGCAAAATACTTAATATGGCAACACTGTTCTCATTTACTTCATCAGCAGGTATGCAGTTTTGAAGTTATTCAAAATCTCAGTCTCTAGAAATCCTGAGCTACATCAGTGCTAATTAGCTAAAAGAATAGACTGGATACATATTAAAAATGATTTTTCACGCACTGACATAATGAGGTACTTATGACATCATTGATGTTGTGACATATAAATAGGTTCTATATTTACACAGCAATTGTTTTCCCATCTAGTAAAACATTTGGGATGTTAGTAACAATGGTAAATGATTTTGCCTGGAAGAACTGTATACTTCATTGGTTTTGTGGTTTCTATTTATTTATGGCACTGATGCATCTTTCTCTCTTAAGATTATAATTGGCTATTTAAAAAAAGATTTTCTTCTAGGTAGTCCTGTTTTGTGGCCCTCCTGTGAAGTAGAGATGAAATCATAGAATCATAGAATGGCTTGGGTTGGAAGGGACTTCAAGGTTATTTAGTTCCACGCCCTCTGCCACAGGCAGAACTGCCACTTGCTTGATCAAGAACTAGATCAGATTGTCCAGGGCCCCATCCAACCTGGCCTTAAACATCTCCAGGGGTGGGGCAAATGAAACAATATTTTCATTTTTATATGCATTCAGTAAAATTCAAATAAGTTACTGACAGTTCCGAATTCTAGGGAAAAAGTTACAAGTCCATCATAAAATAGTTGTGTGTACAGTGCCACTGTGCTGAAGTTAGAGCAGGAAAAAAAAAAAACCATATGCCTCTGTGCCTTTTTAATCTTTACTGTTGTTATATTGAGACTAAAAGTATTTACTTCACTTAATGAATGTAAGTATTGTAGTTTTAAATGAGGAATGAAAATACTCAGTGTAGAATTAAAATGGTCAAAAGTGGTCAGTGATAGAATCGATGCTGTTTTTTATTTATTTTCAGTTTGACTGTTGAGATTTCCAGTTGAAAATATTTGTGCATTGATTCAAAAAACTCTTTGGGCCTCTGTTGAGGGGAACTAAGATGAAATATCTCCATTCAGGAATATCATTTTGTGAACTACTGCTTGCTAACCTCTGCAAAAATATGAGGCGGACTTCAGAATGCCCTGAGAAGCTTATATGGTGCAGTTATGTACTGCACTTGGACTAAAAAGGAAGGAAAGCTGACAACTGTTATGCGCAAAGATTTCTAGCTTCAATAATTAGTTTTCTCCCTATTTTACTAGCCTGAAGTCTTACTAATCAAAACAATGCGCATTTTCTGAAGGCTCCTAAGCTTTTTTTTTTTTTTTTTTCCGCACTAGAAAAATGTGAATGAGGAAGATGGACATTTTCTCCAGAGCTGTTATTCTACTTCTGTGATTTTGCTTAATATCGGAGAATGAAAATATCTGGGTGGTTGTTATAATACCCTTGGCATACAACTCCTCAGCATCAAGAAACTCCTGATTCTCCACTTTAGTATCTCAGTATTGTTTGAGTGCTGAGTGCATGTGTAGGTAAGTGCTCATAGCATTAAAACCAACTGCTGCAGAACTGCCTGGCAGACCTGCACATGAACTATTTATGCCTCAGAAACAAAATTGATTCTATGCATAATCTCTCTGCAGTACCCTGTTAACTCACTAGAAAACTGCAAAAAAAAAAAACATATTTTTGCTAAGATTATATTGTACATGTCCAAAATTAAATAAGGGAAATCCTGCTTAACTTCTTAGTCTGTTTAGGGATTTTCTAGGAAGAAGCTAATTAAGAGGAGGTTATGGACAAGTAAATTTTTCTGTCATAATTCTGAGGTTAAAACTGGACTGCCTGGAATTAAGTGGCCTCATTCATTTTGTGAGAAGACAGTAAGTGTATTCCAAGGCTGGAAATTCCATTTCACTTAATGTACAGAAAACATCGCAAGGGAAATAAGAGTTTTTCATGAAGAACTAGGTATCCTGGTAACATATCAGTTATCAAACTCACTTTGTGTTTTTCAGCAACAGTAATAATTATAGTGCAGCAAGATTGTTTTCATCTTTCAAAGGGGTATTTCTCAAGACTTTGGCAAGAAATTCCCTTTTCTCCTCAAATGTAGCGATCATACTACCAAACCACATAGCAAATGCCAAACAGTAATCTTCATTGAAATTTTTTCAGCATTGAATGTATCTTGCATAAATTTATCTAGTGTCTTACAATTTACCTACTTTAAAAAGGTATTGTATTGTTAAATATAGTCAAGTTTGAGTCCTAGCCAAGGCTTATTTGTGCTTTAGTCACTGGCAGTTTCGTGACTGTGCTCCAGAGATGTGACAAATATTTAGCTTCCTCATGCAGTTGGTAAAAGCTAACCCTGACCTTTAACAAATAATTAGAGTCATTTAGGTGCCCCACCTACATCCTTTTCTTCTCTGGGGGGAGCAAGTAAAAAGTCATGCTTTTCTTTATTTTATTCTTGTGGCTGATTAAAACTAGTAATACAGTGCAGGAATTTTATTCATTTATACAGTGTTGGACTACTATAGATTTTTCCTAAAGGTATTGTACCTCTTGCATGAATGCTATAGTACTAACTTCTAAGAGGGTAAGGTACTTGAAAAACATGTAATTGAGGGAAGAACCAGTTGATATGTTTTGGGTGTAAATGTTGACTTTCCCTGTCGATTACCAGCACATTTAAAAATACTATTACACCAAAGCAGGTATTTGAAAATACTGTACTGAATGTGCTTCGCTCCTTAGATACTAATAGGACAGTTAGGAGGAGTCCAAGAGCATTTTTAATAACTTCCTGAAAAGTACCTTCAGACTGATCTTCTATGAGGTATCCTTCTCATGATATGCATGGAAATCCTCACAATGCAGTTCTTGAATAAGTGAGCTGAGATAGGTAGAAATCTGACGCTTGTCGTTCTGTATTCCTTTTATCATGTCCCTTCTCTTATGTGAGAATCAGACCGACAAATATGGCCTTATTAAATGGCTAAATAACTTGAAGTGTAACTTTGCTTTCAAAGGTATTTTTACGTTGTTAATTTCTGAAGTTGTATAGTGCATCAGATGTAGTGGTGCAGTGTAGAAAATACATAGTTCATAACATATTTGTACCTTTGTTGTAGAAGGCATTTATTGAGTTTGGAAAATAGATTACATGCTTATGATGTTTCATTTCTCAAAAATGATAATAAATGGGTGAATTATCCACATGGGGGTTTTCAGCTGAAGGTATTCAATTAATTATTATATGCCAGTCAACAGTTCAGCAGCAGCAACAATCTGCTGTTGAAAAAACTGATAAAGGTCTTGATCCAGCAAAATTGAATGTACATTTTCTCTGTAGCATTTGTCTAGTGCTAAGCATTATTAATAGTACAAGTGGATTTTTTTGGTAAGGTGTTATTTTTGTTTGTGTTTTGTTGCTTTATCTAGAAAAGGCTGGCTTATGCTGAATCTTTCAGCTACATAAACAAGGAAGTGATAAAAAGGTAGATATTACAAATTAGTTGGATCATCGTGAGCTTAGTTCCATGCATACTGCTTCTTGCCTTCTCTATCCTGTCTTTTCCTGAGGTCACATATGCCATGTAGTCTATCCAAGGAGAGAGATTATGTTGAATGCCACCTTTGGTGGTGAGTGTGCTAAGCAGAACTGCATCAACTGGTAGTGCGCTGTTCATCTTAGATTTAGCCTGCAGAAGAGCTGTGAAACAGGATGTTGTGTACCAGGGTGTTTTCTTGTGATTCTTTCACTATTTCCATCCTATTTTTAATGGATCACTCAGTGGATTTTTACCTTCTTAACAAATGGTAACTCTAATGAACTGTGCCAGTTCATTGGTCCAATTCTCAAATAATCATTTGATAGACAGTATCTGCTTTTAATATTTAATGTATGTGGTGCTGTCCTTTAAAATCCTTGCCTAGCTTTGAAGTGTTTTCGTTGCTATGGAAACAACATCTGTGATAGGAGCTTCTAAATCATGAATACACTTGAGATGTCTTTTCTTTCCTCTTGTGTATGAATACAGTAGTTCTTACCCTCCCACACTACACTTCATTTGCAGCTTCCTTCAGAAAGCAGTGCTAAGCAAACTCATCACTGCTGCCTCCTTAAAAACTCAATGCTAGGATAATTCAATATTCAAACGCTTCTACATTGTAGTTTCTGATGCTGTCTTTCAGGTTTCTGCTTATCTAAGTTGAATCCTCTGTGGAAAAATCAAAGTTTTGTGGGTTTCTGTCACAGAACAACGAATCACGATCTTTAATTAAAAACCAAAACTTAAGAAGTTATTTTTTTTGCAGAATTGCTGCTGTCTGTACTAGAGAGATTAGAACTGGTACAGCACCCCAGGTGTGGCCTCCCCATCTCTGAATGTAGATGAAGGATAACTTGCCTCGACCTCTTGGAAATATTCATCTTAACACAGCCCAGGATGCTGTTAGCCCTATTTGATGTAGGGCCACACTGCAGGCTAATACAGGTGAAGATTAATGTTGCTGTGGAATTGTTTCTCTTGTAATGTTTCAAGCTTCCCTCTTAGTACCAAGTCTAGTTCTAAGATTCTATAACAAATGATTTCCTTAAATGTGAGGTGCTTGGTAAACTGACAGCAGATTTTAAATAATCCTTTGTCATTATTTGATACCTACTGCTTTGTATGCAGCACCCTTCAAGACCAAAAATTGAAATGAAGTTGAAAATTACTGAAGAAAAAGTAGAAAATGAATGTTAAGTATATTTTGAGAAGCTTAATCATAGCTACAGCTAGTAGGAAACTGGAAGCTGGAAGTCGCAATAAGTAGATTCACTTCTAGGACAAAAGCCATGTTATGCAAGTGATGTGCAGAAATTCCTGATGTGTTATTCTAAGGAAAATAATTAAGCTAGCAAAAAAGTACAGACTGTTAATTTCTTAGCAGAGGTAGATGGTGCTATTATTTGTTTAATCAGTTCTGGAATGTTTTGGCACTGCTTCACTTTGTAGAACAAAAGAAGAAATGACCTCTTCACAAAAAGAATGCTGTGGATAAGCTGATAGGTACCTTATCAAGTTTGCTATTGTAGCTATGCCAGACAGACATGTTAATGTGACATAGACATTCTCTGCTATGGTATTTATACTTTGTCAGAGGTGTTTTGGAATTCATTTGTGACCTCATCCGGCATACAGAGAGGCTGCAAAGTTCTCAGAATTGATAAAACAAGCCCACTTTAAAATGAGCTTATTTTAAACTTCCTGGCTTTCAAAGAACTTCATAAAATAGTCTATTTTCTAGCTTTGTACCTATTTGCTACTGATGCTTTTCTATGCTTCCGACATCTGAAGTGCCATAGCTGATGGCATTTCTTTAAGATTCTTTTAAGCTTAGGTTTCAAATAGTTATTTTTCTAGGAGCACTGGGAGGGGAGATTAAAGTCCTGTATGTAAGGTGTATGAATCCTAATCTGTAAGTAAGGACAAACTTTAAAATGTACTTCAGTTAGCACTAAGGAGTGTGAGAGGTAGAGAGAACTAGCCCAACAAGTTTTCTATCACTTAATAAACCAATCTAATCAGGCAAGAACTTTTTTTTTTGTTGTTGTTCTTTAGTTAAGAGCCTTGGAAAGTGTTCTTTATTTTTAGTCAGCTGGTTACCATCTGGTCCGGAACATCATGAAATGTAGAAAGTATGGGGCCCAGGACTGAGGAAGCAGAAGCAAGAAAGATCAGTTGGGACTGACTTTCCTAATTTTTTTTCCCTTATTTTCCTATGTCAAATTTTTAAAAATTAGGTTGGGTAGAGGTATATATTAAGAAATAGATCAGTATTCTGGACAGTAGTGCATGGAATAGAAAAATATGAAAACACCTAGGTTGAGGCTACAAGGGAAAAATGAGTAGAAAGTGACAATTTTATCTCACATATGTCTATATGATAAAGTAATATATAATATAATGTTTATATAGAAAAGATAGACGATTCTGCTGCCTCTGTACATTTTAAGTTGTGCAGTAAAGAGATAAATATTTGAATTGATTCTTATTTTTGGGGATGGCCTTTGTTTTATATAAGGCAGAAGTGAGACCAGTGAGGATCTCCACACATGCTGGAAATCTTTTGCAAAGTATTTTTGCCAGTAAGTGTGGGCAACACCTGGAAATCCATTATCCCACTCTTTTTTTTACCAGTAAACTCTCATTCCTATGCATTTTTTTTCGCACAGTTGACGCTCATTACTTGATTAAAGGTTACAGTGTCCTTTCTCAAATAGAAAAGGAATGCATGCTCTAATTAGTAGAGTATGAAAGAGTATTCTATAAATGTAGTGATAATAAGGTGCAAAAAAAAGATAGCGAAGGGACAGAGGAAAGACAGTAATGAACTGCCAAATGTGGGTATGTGTGCCTGAACCATTCTAGCAGAAGCTACGGAACCGTTCTCCCAAGAAGTAGCTGCAAATCTTCAGCAACAGCTTAAAGAAAAGTAAGAACTGCTAGGGAGAGGGGGAAGCTGTTGTTTGGAAGGTCTGTATGTAAGAGCTCAGAATAAGGCTTTTAGGTCATAGATGGTACAAAAATGGAAATGGTAAGTGTTTTGGATTCCTGTTTTATAAATGGGGAGGAAAGAGAAAAGTCTTGGAGACTGAGTGAAAAATATCAAGTAACTTATAGCAGTATATGAGAAATGCTCATGTACAATTTCTGTTATAATCTCTTAAAATTTCAGCACTTTAGTGTGAGATTGGCCCAGTTTTGGTTTTGATAGCATTACTGTTCAGAATTAGAGAGGAGCTCACTTAGTCTTGTAGGTATCTGTAGTTTGGCATGGAGAGCAAAATTCACTTTGCGTAGTGCTGGAAACTAGATGGTGTGAAATGTTATTTGGAATTTGACTTGATCTGAATTCCTGTTTAAGTCTACAAATTAACATAAGTATTTAATAATACTTAATAATTTAATAATAACTATACATGGCAAAGTCAGGACTGGAAGACTTTTAACTATAAATTGGTTGGACTATTCACTATAAACTGTCTAGAACTATAAACTATTAACTGTCTTGGCAATGTACTCAGTATATTCTAAAAGTACAGTGTATTTCAGCGGCTGCTTCTCATTTTTTGTTTCACTTTAGATTACAGTTGATGTATCTGCAGTATTTCAAGAAATGGGAGGATAAACTTTACAACGTTTGCTCGCATGGAAGTTGTTCAAACTGTTGTTTTCTGTTAAAACTAGGGATGAATTACTAATTTTTGGGAGAGCATGGTTCTTCATGAACTTGGATTCACACTCGTTTTCTCTGAAATGTTGTCCTAAAGAACTGGAAACAGAATTTTCCTTCATATTGTGGTTCTTGTGAACTGATATCTACACAAATTAGTGTAAAATGTGAAATGTTTTGTTGGAATAACTATGTTGAAGTAATTTAAAGTGATGAGAAATTAGGTATTGTTATGAGTGATATGTTAATCACAGTAGTTGATAACCAAACAAATATGAAAGGAATGAACCTCTTTTTTTTTTTTTTTTTTTTCAGTCGATTTCATCTTTAGTTTTAGCTGTATTTTAAGTAACTGAAAGCTATATCTGCAAAGACTTTAAAAAAAAAAAGTGTTTATTATAATTTTAGTCAAATTCTATATTTGAGAATAGGTAGTCATAGCTTAAGTGCTACCTTTGAGTGAAATTATATCAAAAAGTAAAATATTGATAATGGGAGAGAAAATAGTGTGGAAATTGCTTGAGGATTTCAATAAAATCTAGCACTGCAGTAAGATGTAACAATACTGCAGGGATCTAATCTTATTAGGCTAAAGCACTTTCATCTTTAATTGCAAAAGGGCTTAACGGTTTCCTTTAATACTTTTAAATATTTGATTCTTAGGAAAATCAGAGTTACTTTTCTCATCTCTTCTATCCTATTGTATGCCTATACCACTTCCTGTAAGTAACATGTCTCAAAGGACAACTATGTAATAAGGATATGCTTGTGGTAAAACTTCCCCAAAACTCTCTAGAAAGCATTTCTGAAATACATTTTAATACTTTTATTTGAATGTCTCGCATTTTCAACTCATATCGACTCATTACTGTGTACGACTTACCTAGAATTCTACAATATCTTTGCCAAATATCCCATTGAACAAACAGTACAAAAGTTGATCATTATTTGCGAGAGCTTGAAATTACAAAGCCAACAGCTGGGGCTGAACTCTGTGTTCAGCTAGATAGAGGATGTAAAAGCTTCACCCTTGGTACAATTACTGCCTGACATGTCTGAACTTCTGTATGCTCTTCAGAAGACAGTGCCTCAAGTGGTTATTGATACTGATGACCAAGGAACTGGACATCATGTTTTTTCCAGGCCTGTGGTCACCTGCATCCTTGGACGAATTATGTTTATTAGTTTATGTCTCAGCTTGCTTGCTTATATTTTGTGTTTAAGTAAAATGACCAATTAAAATAACAAAACAAAACAATCAATTGAAAAGTTCATTTTTTTTATTAATAAATCATAACTTTTTCTGTCATGGTGAGAGCAGTCCAATTTTGCCTTTATGAAAGAACTTTCAATTTAAATATAATATTGACTTTTTACACAACTGGAAAAAGTTTCTGAAAGATCTGTAATTTCAAATGATTTTCAGGACTGAATAGCAGATATATTTCACTAATAGGAAAATATCTAGGAACAATTACAGCAAAGCAGAAAATAAAACGCTAGCTTTAATATAATCTGTTTTTTGCTAGTTCTTCTGTTCTTTTGCTATTTCCTGTCAGTGGATGTCAGTGCCCCTTATTTGTTATAGATCATGCTTTTAAAACTATTTTGGAATGTAGCAAAATTGCTGAAGTTAAACTTACTTTTCATAACAGAATTTTAATGAAATGTAAGCAAGCAGAATTGGTGGAAGGTCATAAGATTGTGTTGTTGTTTCATTGAAGGTATAATTTTCTATTCTGTGAAGCTTACTGGAGACATCCAGAAACTACTTTATGAAGAAAAATGGCAGGAAGGGCTAAATCACAGTGGTGAGTGATATACTGATACAGTATCTATAGATAACGCTAAGAATAATGCTTATTATTTTTGTCTCAAAATGAAGGCTGTTGACCGTGGGCTAGTGGAGGACCAGTGAGCTTTTTCAGCTATTTTTTTTGAAGAAAGCATCCATCCTCTAGGTACTACAAGAAAGATCAGAAAACTCCAATTAAATTCCCATTTGAGTGAGACTGTGCTAAGATACTAGCTGATGTTCTATTTCCAGTCATGTTTAGACCACAGCAAGCAAATGTGTTTTTTAAAAAGTTAAACACTTTTAAGTGTTTAAACACTTATTGCAGGGGGCAATACCACTATATAATTGAACTAGAATTTTTATGTGATGGCAATAGACAGGCAGCCACAATTTCAATCAACTTGTACTTTTCCCAGATGCATCACTGCACGTGAGCAGTGGGACTTGTCCAGTTTATCCAGATTGACAGCAGTACTGTGTGTCTCATTCCACCCTTACTGCCATGATTTAACTGGATTTTATTAGGAGGAAAAAAAAATGGACTGGATGTGCAGAAGATGCAACAAAACTTTCTCAGACATCTGTGGAGCTTCTCAGTGGTCCCAAACAGGTTAGGTTCTCTTAGATTTGCTGGCCTGGAGCCATAATCTGCTCTTCAATTAAGTCTCTTCTAACTTCTCCCTCATGGTCTATGTTAGCAAAGAGAAGGAAAGGTATTGAAGGGTCCTGCATGTGTACCACAGACAAAAGCTCCATTTCTTTTAACTGGAAATATGTCTGTATTAAAAACATCGAGCTTGAGCCCTGAAGATTGAATTACTGCACTGTTGTCTTATGATAGTTCTTTTAAAGTAACTTCAAGAGCCCTTTTTTCTATAATATGGAACTTGCACTATATGTTAATGCTGTATAAATAGACATGGACAAGCATCATGAAACTTTTCAAGTTCTAGCTTATTGTTTTAAAACTCACTATCTCTATTTTTTCATCAATTGAGATTTCAGCCTGCCTATAGAGAGTACTATAATGGTAATCACAACATGTTAGCACTTTAGAGTCTGGAGCACTTCAGAGTTTACTTATTTCCACTTACTGAAGAATGTTTTTGTAGAGTCAGTGACTGTGTCAGTGCCCTGAGAAGCAAGAGACTGGATCTACTGTCTTCATGTTGCTTATTAACAAAAAAGTTGACTGAACATGGTGAAATGCTATTCTTGCAGAGTGGTTCTGTTATAATACTTAGTTTGTGTGTAAATAATTACTTCAGTAGTTTAATGTTTCCCAGCCGAAAGCTTCAAAATCAGGTTGCCAAATCAGCAGACTTCTGATCAGAAGGTATTGTTGGACTGTAACCATGGAACAAAGTATGCATCCCACAGACAATTTTCCTCTTCTTTTCATTTATTATTACTTATTAGTATTAATGACTTCAAGAGGAACTAAAATGAGAGCACCAGGGTAAAGATACCGTGGAAAGAAATGTGTGGATCTAAAATCTCTGCTTGTGATTATACTGAAAGATGAGTGCCTGGTATCAGAAATGGGGATTGGGTGGATGGAGAAGCAGCACAGCTCAGTCTGCACATCGTGTTTGGGGCTGGTAGCTCTCCAATATGCGTGACTGAACAAGGAATGGCCACAGTTTGCACAAACTACGTGAATTCCTATTAATGGGTAGGAAGGGACTGGAACCACAGAATGGCCAGGGTTGGAAGGGACCTCAAGGATCATGAATCTCCAACTCCCCTGCCACATGCAGGGCCACCACTCTCCACGTTTAATGCTAAACCAGGCTGCCCAGGGCCCCATCCAACCTGACCTTGAACACCTCCAAGGATGGGGCATCCACAACCTCTTCAGGCAGCCTGAAGCACCAGAACCATTCTCAGTCAATACTCAGTTTTTGTGTTTCAAATACTGCATGCTTAAATACTTACAATGTTTTAAAATGTTTTTCATAATACTGAGTTGAAGAAGTGTGTGTACTTTACCAGCTCTTATTTGTGTGGGGTGGCACAACCCAATAGGTTAAACTTTTACCAGCAGTTGCCTCCTCTCCTCCCTGCACTGAGACGTGTTACTCTAAGTAGGGTAAAATTGTTTCATGAAGTGATTACAGTGTGCAATCTTCTGAAATTTGCCTAATAAGCAGCAACCTTTAATCCATTAAGGCTAACAAAGGGTAACTGTGATATCTTCTGTGGTAAACGAGTGGGGCTTCATCACCTTTGTGTTGCTGCTTTGTGTAATGCTTCTTTTCCCTTTCCTAAATCGGGATTTACCGCAGATGCTTCGCCCTATTAAACAGCTCCCGTGCCCAAATTCAGCGCATCCAGCGAGCGCCGGCCGGCACACGCTCACACAACGCAGCAGGCACCGCCCTGGCCCGGATCCCTCGCGGCCCCTCACTGAGCTGGGCCGGGGGCGGGCCGGGCTGTGCGTGCTGGGCGGGCCGGCGGCAGGCTGTTGCCATGGCTCCCGCAAGCCGGGGCAGCACCGCGGGCCGGCGGCGGCGGTGCTGAACGGACCAGCCATTTTGCTGGTGGAAAACAATGTGACACGGCGTGCCGGGCTCTGCCGAGCAATAAACACGCGTCTCCTCTGAGGACTCAGAAGAAACGGGCGCGCGAGTGAGTAATGACAGCGCGTTAGCGCGTCGGAGCTGCCATTTTGACAAGCCGGTGACTGCCGCTGCCGTCGGCTGATCGGAGGCGGAATGCGGAGCGATAACGCCGCATATCTGCTGTCAGGCAGCCGAGCGGGTTTTTGTCTCGTAAAGGCGAGGCAGCCCCACGGCGTTATCTCGGTGCCCGCCGAGAGGGCTGAGCCGGGGCTGGCGGCCCCGCGGTTAGCAGCGGGCGGGTGCCTGCCCGACCCCGCCCGGCCTGCCGACCCCGCGGGCTGCGCGCCGAGGGTGTGCCGCCGCGCTCCGCACAAAGGGAGGCTGCCGAGCATCCCGGCTCCGGGGAGACGTACGGCTGTGCGGGGACTGGTCCTGCCTTGTGAAACTGTGTTCCGAGCAAAACCGTTCGCGAGAAATAAGCTTCGCCAGGTACCTTTGTTTAAGGGATGGTTTGGTCACAGACTTGTGTGGAGTGATGGCTGAGTGCATCGGTCTGACTGCATCTTGTTTTAGTGTTGTGTTCTAACATAGCTGTAGAGTCAAAAGATTGTGTGCAGTAGCAGATGCAATCATATGCTTGCATTTCCTACTATAAAGGGTTTTCATTTTCCATTGTGCTTTGTGCTGTCGGGATAGCATGGGATATGATACGTTATCAAACTTGCAAACGTATTTGAAAAGCCTCAAGTCACTGAATTCTTTGTGATTGGAATTAATGCGTTGTGCTCAGCCTCGGCGTAACTAGCTTTAAATTGTCTGACTGCTGCTGTGTAATATGTAGGTCATAATAAGGAGCAGCTTTTTCACTAGGCTTCCATGGACTGCATGCCCCAGTGCTGTGGTTGATTGCTTTCTGGTACTGGCACTGGTAAGAGCAGCAGTGACACAGCCAGCTCACACCTCCCGTTCAGATATGGCACATACCGTGCTGCATGGAGCACAACACGCCCATTGTGTCCCTCCGCTCAATGCTTGGTACAAGGAAGGAAACCAGCACTCCACATGGAGCACAAGCACAATTAACAGCACAGGGCGGTTAAACTTTTATTGAACGATCCCAGTGGCAGGCTTTCTGCTTAACAAAAAATAAATAAAACCATGAATGCAAATGTGAGGCAGTCATTGAAACACAGTAAGTCATCTGATTGGGGTTGTGTGTTCGTACTGTAGGTTTTCAATGCAAAAGGAATTGCTCTGAATAGATATCACAACACATCTGTTTTACAGAGGTCGATAAAACTGCAGTTCCTCAATACAAACTTTTATAGTAAAAGTATCATTTCATGAACTACTAAATGTATTCTTGCTAATATAATTCTTAATTACCTAATACTGAAATGCATTTGATTATTCTGGCAACTGAATGATATGATTTGCTTTGTAACTAGAGAAAAAAAATAATTGGTATTAACTCTTAATTACATGGCTTTCAGTTACATTGAGATGAACCATTTATTTGAACAGTTGAGAAGGCATGAGATCAGGAATTTGAGGTCTGGGATCTTTATAGTTAAATTAGTAACCAGTTTCTGTAATTAGGAGTCAAATTCCAATGTGTTATTTCTGTGTATATGTGCTGTAAAGGTATTTGGATAAGCGTGGTCAGCAACTATTCCCCAAATGGAACATCGCATTTAGAAATAGCAGTTTATAAACACGTTGCAACCATGTATTTTCCCTCTTAGAAAAGCTCCATCTTTCTCAAACTGTTTCAGGATTTCACTAACAGATGAATGTACACCCCAACTTCTTATGTGTAGAGGTCATATAGTAAATTGTTTAGAGATCCACTTTTTTCTGTGTTCTGATAAGTGGAATGAATATTTACAGCGTGATCCTACATGAATATTCATGATTGAGTCTTTAATTATGTTGAAAATGATAAGCTGATCTAGCATTTCCTTTAGGAGGTGTTTGTCAGCCTCTAACAAAGAGATAGAAAGCTTCTATTATTACAGTAAGAAGTATAGGCATAGTAGTATGCAAAAAGTCAAGGACCTTACAGCTCAAGCAGGATATATCTTACTGTGAAAAATTTGTGGTCTAAGAAAGCATATGAGGACTAACTGTGACAAATCAGCGTACGGCCAGTTAGGTGCTGGTAGATGCATCTTATTAGTCTCTATTATTATTGAGAACAATATTCTGCATTCTTTCTATTCTGTCGTTCTCCCTTTGTCTTCTTTCTCATATCAGTTCCCGGCTTCCCTCTGTTGCCTTACTGTCTCTTTGGCAACATCTGATCCCCTCTGAGGTATTTGTAAATCAAATCGGTGACTGTCAGTAATGGCCATGAAGGTGCTGCAATGGAATATGGTTAGAAGGAAGAATGTTAATGAGTTAGAGGGGAAAAAGCAGTGACTAAGTAAAGTGTGTACCCAATATGGACTAATGGTATGTGATATAAGGTATGAAGGTCTTGTCACAAATGTTGAAAACAAATGGGTATAGAAGCGGATAAACGTTTTTCAGCTCACGATCAACTACATTTTTGAAGGCTAGTAAGAAGATCTTGAGAATAATATGAGACAAGACAAATTGGATATTTCAGCAGTGGAAAGGTTGACATCAAGTTTCAGTTAAAGCATAGGGGTTTTTTTCATTTCAGGAGAACTGTGGTTTCAGTCCAAGAAATTATTGTACTTGATTTGAAAATCTGTAGGTTATGCAAAGTCAGACTGTTTTGGTCTGCAGTGAGGTAAATAACACCAGCTGTCATGCTTTAACATGAGTCACTTCAAACATTTTTGAGAGATCTGACTCTTGAAGGTGACTCTGGGCCTATGTGTTGTGATCATAAACAGGTTACCAGCAAAGCAAAAGCAGGGACATCAATCCTGAAACATAATATTACAGCAGCAGGTGCAAATAACAATAAAAATGAAGAGATGGATTAAAGAAGCCAAGTGCTGTAGCAGTTTGGTATGTTTGTTTAAAATCACTAGATTTGAACAAACATTGATAAGCATCGACCAACCACGTGTTCTGTGGAGCACAATAACCTTCTAAGAGTGCTAATGTGGGAATGTAATCTGCCCTCCACCTATGGGCTAGTCCCTGAAATGCCATAGACTTACATATATGATCAACGTGAGTAGCAGTACGGATGTCACATGCCTAGAGACCGCTCTCAGATATCAAATTAGAGTGCAGTGTATAAGGTTGCACTGTGGAGCAGCCGAATGCTGCTTCCGTATTGGAAGGATCAGGTATTGTGTATGATATGCTAATGATAGGGTTCATCTGGAGCAAGTAAATTACATCAGATGTGACCTTGTATCAAAAGTTTTGTTCCAGTGAGGCTGTCTGAGTAATGCTGACAATTCTTGGAGGTTTGTAAATTTGAATTTTACAAATATGTAGTTTGATGTATCACACTGATACTGATCATTTTCTGTATCACTATTTCAGTATTGCATTGTTGTTATTCACGGACAGAATGTATTTTCTTTATATTCTGTTGGATGTAGTGTAGAGCATTGTTAAGGAAATGTTAGGTACCCATGGTACCTAAGTACTATATGTACTCAGACTTTGTTCATTTTTCTTCAGATAGTGTGGCTTCTTTACACACAAGCATATTACCAAAAGTATACTCCCATTAAAAAAAAAAAAAAAAAGGCTCAGTGAGATGCTGATATTTCTATTATTGTGATTATTGTGAAATGCCTTAACTATCTTGAGCCCAGCCTAAAACAAAAAGGTAAAAAGACTTTCATAGACAGTGATGTAATGGCAAACCTCATGGATGTGAAGGATTATGGTGTGATAGTGGACAGAAGTATCAACTTAAAGGGCAACATGCGTCTGAGCAAAGGCATGCTGAATGACAGCATTTTAGATCTATTCCTGCTTTGTTTTTCTGATGCATTAAATGTATTTTTCTGTTCAAATCTATTGTTCTGTAACAGCATAGCTAATGTTGCTGTAAAGCAGGAAATTCCAAAGACTGAGCCTTTTCTCCTAGCTTCTGTCCCTAAATAGACTTACTTTATGTCCTCTGCTGAACAATGATAGTGTTCTGATTCATCCATCCTTAAAAATCTCGGCAGCCACCATTAAGGGGTTGAAGAGGACAGATGTGCTTCTGTGTTCTTAAGTAACCTAAATAGCATAATATGTTATTTTAACAGTTGATGCTGAGGATCCCAAGCCTCAAAGAATAGTGGTGAAGGTGGGGGGGAGAGAAGAAGCTAGCAAGAAAAGCAATGCTTTTTCCTCCCAGTCCTTACAGCAATCAAGTTATACAATAAGTTTTTTTATTTACCTTTTCAACAGATAAGTTGAATAATGTTGAAATGTGGAATAACAAAAGCTTTACTTATTTGTAGAGTATTTGTCTAGCATTATATGCACAAGTATTGAAGGAATGTACAACTGAAATGTTTGATATGTAAGTTTAGCCACAGTTGCTGACTAGCTACATTTGCCCTCAAATAGTGAGTTTTACTCTTGCTACCTCAGGACTCAGAAGAAAAGTGAAAGATACTTGAAGGAAACCCAAGGGAATCAATAATGGCAGTTTTCATAGCTGAAAAAGCAATGTTTTGCAGGCTTGCAAGAGCATTAAGAGGCGTTGATGTCTCAAGATTGTGTTTGTTTGTAACATCAACAGTTCTGCTAAGAGGAGGTTGATAGTTATGACTGAAGGTTAAAATAGCTGGAAGGATCCTTTCAGAGTTTAAAAACAAGAACAACAGTGAAAAAAAAAAAACAACCAACACAGTTCCTTAATGATTCTCTTTTCCTTTAGTGAAGACAATAAGTGAGTTCCTGGTTCAACCACAGTAATCCTGAAAGGCAGTTCTAAAGGTCCTAAGAGGCTTAAATTACATGATGTAGCCAATGATGGGAAGGAGGGGAACTACATCAAGAGCAAGATAGCCATAGCTTGTCCTTTTCAATATATTGCCATCTTGTCTGAGGAATCAATTCTAACCTGAATAAGAAGATTTCTTAAGACAGAGTATGTTGAATGTTAAGTATAGCCAAGTATTCCTTGATGGGGAAAGTGTGATAGACACAAGTGTGTGAAGTCACAAAAAACACAATGTGTCACCTTGCAAAAAAGTACAGATATTACTCAAACGTGATGTACATGGTGCAGAGGATGCAACAGATTTTGCTTTAGTAATCTAGTCCTAAGTGTTTATACCTGATGTAAGACCGTAGAAGATTAGTAAGTTCCTAATGACGGAGATCTGATGGATGTTTTTCATAAAATATGGTGACTCATCTTTAGATTTAGATATAAGGAATACCAACAAAAGAACAGAAATAGGGATTTCTGAATTGTGAATTGTGGAAGATAGATTAATACTTCAGCTTACCATATACAGAAAAGGCGGCTATGAAAACAGGGTGGTAAGATTTATGTTTTTACTCAAACTATCGAGATTAATTACAAAGCCAAGGAAGACTGCCGCAAAACCCATAAGAGAACAAATTTCAGTTCATGCAAATATCTAGACTACTTCTGGTCTCCTAATTGGAATAAAATGTGAATATATGTAAAAATCTTAATGGCTTTTGGTAGCTGATTTCATAAACTGTTTTGGCTCTGACTATAGCAAGGGTATCCAGTAGGGTTGACTTCCTAAAAGCCATGTTTCACCAAAGTTTAGCTTTAGGAAAGGGGAAGAGGAAGCCTGTCCATGATTCAGGTCTCTGACATGTGAAAAATGCATGAACTCGAGATTTCACACATTACTGCAGAGGTCTGTGTTTGTGACTATGAACAGTATTTTCATTACTAGAGGTGCCCACAGAAGGAATGTAGCAATCTAAGCAATTCTAAGTGAATTAAGTGTAGGGCAGATGTAATTAAACTGTATGTTTAAACACTGCTCTTGCTAATTATATCTTGATATTAAAAATGATACACAATAACTATAAAACCAGAATTATTTCCTTTCTTTCTCGGCATAAATTTAATCTGAAATTGGGATAGTATTAGCACCAAATTTTGAAAAAGGTGTAAAATGGGATTTGTAAAGTACTAAATGCCTGTTTCTCAGTGAATTTTATTTTGTTTGAGAGCCTCACTTTCTCTATTATGCAGATAATGAGAACTTTTATAGTTGAAGTAATAAATAATGAGGATTAAATAATTGATGTGAGGTGATTATTAATTGGTGAGAATGCCAAAGAAACTGTGTTATTGGAAGGCTGATCAGTAAATCCTCAGCACAGGTTGCTTTGTGCTCTCCAGTGAAGCAGATGAGTTGCTGGATTAGAAGTCTCCATCTTTGGCTCAGTATATTGTTTTTAAGCACCACAAGACATGTATGCAACTTTTGAATTTCAAAAAGACTGTAGCTTTTCAGGCAATCCTAAACTCACCTAAATATGGTGTATAGTTAATGCTTCCCTTCTAACATAGAGCTCACACTACTGATTACTTTGTATTTTGTGTTTTACCCTCCTTCAAATCTTGAGCAGCTATTGTTTGTTTTATGCATCAACACTGTACTTTCTTTCCTATTAAAGATATAGTAAGGGTTTTGGAGATAAGAGTACAGTAGCATCCCAAAGGGGTGCCACTGAAAAATATTCAGTACGTATCACTGAAGTCATATACTGATCCTGTGATTCACACTGCTCCTTCTAGCCAGTTATGCATCTTGTATATTTTAATGAACAGCTTCTGACAGAAGGTTGCAGTTGCTAGCACTACATTTATTAAATTTTACTTCTAATTAACTGGGAACTCTGAACAGTGACACTCTCCCAGATAGTGCAATTAGCATGAATTTGATTGTTGTTCTTCTAGATAAATCTGTAGTTCTTAGGAATCCCAAAGAAATAACAATTTCAATATGACTAATGCAATCAGATGGGTTACTTTGAATAACCATAATGTAAAAGACGTTAATCAAAGGAAGTGATTGTAGGAGAGAGAGGTGAGGTGTTGATAGGTTTGGCAGTAGAATGAAGGCCAAACCAAAGACTTTGGTTTGACATACAAGTTTTAAATTTGTTATGTGTGTACTTGTAGGTTTATGCTTTTACACGATTTTGACAGTGGCATTTGATTCACTGATTATGGTCTTGGGTACGGGCCAGGTTCAGGGCACAATTTATTGTCAGAACTCTCACAAACTCTAGAAAAATTATTTGCAAGTCTACACCTACATACTATAATAAAATATTAGGGGGATGCTTTCCAGCACAGGGAAATTGTTTTCTTACAAGCAAGTTAAAAATCTTGTGGACTTAAATTAATCTAGGTGTGAATTTGTTTACTTTCTGTAATATTTAGTGGTGTAATTATCTTAAATATATGCTATTTAAAGTGTAGATTAGTCATTGTTTAGCTAAAACCTCAAGCAAAAATGAACACATCAGTAGGACTAAGTAAAAACTATGAGCTGTACAACAGCAAATCTGTTACACTGCCTCTATGTAGACATGTTCCACTTCAAATTCTGACGTGCACTTACTGTACCAGAGGAGAAAGTGCAGATGAGTTATTTCCTAATGAATGGATAAAAAGACCGCTGTCTCAGTTGTTATCTGAAAGGAAACTACATCTTAGTAATTGTTTCTATCAATGTTAGTTCATCACTGTGTAAAGAAGGGATTGGAGTTGAGTTGTCTTTGTAATAGTTGCTTAACATAGTAGATGGAACACACAAGATTGCAAAAGTAAACTGAAAAACAGATGTATTAACAAATGTTTCTGACCATTCAACTATAATACCAGTTGTTTCCTGATTTCTTAAAGGAAGCTTAGCAGAAAAAAAAATTCAGAAGGGATTTGAAGAACAAGCAAATAGTGGCTCTATAGATAAACTTGAGAAGTATTATTGTGTTGGAAGGATACTATCTGTTACAAATGAATGAAAGAATAGGTGGGAAAATCTGTGCAGAAGTTGTACAAAGTTGCAATGAGAGCTTTGGGAGTTGCAGGAGGAGACAAAGAATTGAGAAAGCTCTAGGAAGGGAAGAGATGGAAGTAAAACTGCTGTGGTGGAAAGATATGGAGGCAGCTGTGTGCCTGCTAGTGGACAATGTACATCTACTGCTCCAGAGTAGACAAGTGTGACAGCCTCAAAGCAAAAAGCCAGAGTAGTCTCTTGGGACAAATTTTACGTTGATCATAAAGTGGTATTACTGAAAACCACAGGCCTGGATGCTGTAGTTAAATTGTGTTATGACAGAGGCTTAAACAGCAGCATTCCTGATAAGGAGCAAACAAAAACAACTGTATTGTTCCTGAGATTGAAGGGAAGCAGGTGTGAGGAAAAATGAGTTGGCTCCTTGAGTAACTAACGTCATTATTTGCATTCTAGTCAAATTTCTGACTTACACACAGAATGCCAGCACATACCATGGATTTTTCTTGTATTTTAGTCTCTGTATGTACTCAAGTATTTTAATTATTTTGCAGATTTGAAAACAAAACAATCCCCTTCTGCAGTCGAGTACTTTGTGTTGTGTTTAAACTTGGGCACAAATAGTCAACTCTTGGCTGCTCAGTCTTTAGAACAAAGTATTAGATATTTCAAATAGATACTTACTTGTATATCACTATCAAAATGAGATTGTCACTGGCTGTCTTCCACAAGCAATGGAATAATGTAATTCTGTGGATAGGGGTCAGGTAGCAGGTAATTTGGAGCCAAGTGAGGGATGCTGCTGTGGTGCTCAGTTTATCTGACTATTGTAAAAATAAACTAAATGCTTTCCTAATATTTTCCTTATGAGAAATTTGTTTAATTCTCAGAGGAATAAAATAAGCTTAAACTGCATGTCAGATAGTCCATAGCAGAAGGCAAAGCAATATAAGGAGCTAAATGTGTTTTGAATACTAAATCTGTATTAAGTTTACTTCTGGTGAGATGTTCAAATGTCCTTACTTGTGATGTTCTTGTGTACAGTGCCGATTTAACATTATTATCTCTACATTCTCTTTTAGGAGGTAAGACAGAAATCTAAAAAAGTTTACTCTGGTGTAAATTCACTAGAGAAAACTTACCTTTCAACTTTTTGAAATTCTTCTGTGTGTAAAGTTTTCAAGTCATTTATGAAACAGGACAGCAGAAGTCACTGACTTCATTCTTCAGTTTCAAGTACAAACTTTTCCGATCTTGTCTGATCATTATCCCAGGACTAGAATTGGGAATTTGTTTTGACCAGAACCAAGGTAATGAAAAATCAAAAAACCCTGAGACAAAAACAAATCATCTGAGGTTTTTATAGTTAATAAGTGGATGACTTTTAAAAACAGAGGATGTTAAAGTTATCAGGAAGTAAACAGTTTCTAGGAAGGGAAATCCATATTTCCGTATGGTTTTTTTTTTTTTTTTTTTTTGTTGTTGTTGTTTTGTTTTGTTCAAAGAGGAAATTACCTAAGAAATGTGCAACTTTATGTAATAATAACTGCTTTAGATTATGCTATTATTTCCAGATCTCACATACCTTAAGATCTACCTGAGTGTGAGCAATATTTTCATTTCTGCTCTTCAAGCTTTCTTCCTTCAGCTACCATGGGTTTAGGTTCATTATATGATGCAGAGATACTGCTTCTTTTAATAAAATGTGCAAAGTAAGCGTAGACATATAATTTTAACTGTCAATTTGTTACTGTTTGAGAGTGTTCTCAAGAGTTTTTCTCTGTATTCCTTGTTGGTGCTGGCCTTTGTTCTGCTGGTTTAGATCTCTTAAGGACTGGTTTTCATAAGGTGCGTGCACTGCTTCTCTTGAAAAGCACATGTAGCCCACGTACTGGCTACCAAAATCTGAGATAGCAAGAAAGTGTTACTTTAGATTTATGTTTATTCAGCAACTACATTGTTGAAGAATTTTTCTACGCAGGGAGAATACCTGTGGTGAAAAACATAGTTGCAGTTCTGAATTCTTTATTAATTACTAGCATTCATTACTGATCAGTAATGAAAGTGTGCTGAGGGAGGAAAATTAGGAAATTGCTTCAAAAAATTGTGTATCGTCCTCAAGTACTGTCTTGTCATTGCTGTAGTTGCCGCTTATGCAGAGGTCTAGCTCTGTTAGTGAAAAATGAGTGGAGGCCTGCAGATAAATTAGGGTTGAGCAACCAGCATTGCAGCATATCTTGCATCACCTTACATTACATTACACATTAAACATGAGCTTGTCTTTGCCCAGTTAGGAGAAGCATGGATATAGCTCAAACAAATGTTTCAAATAAATAGTGTGTTCAACAATTAAAGGTACTGCAGGGAACATAAATAGGAAATAAAAACTGTAAAAGTGCCCTTACCGTCATTTAGCAGGAGCCGAAGCAGTACATGATAAATGACTGCGTACTTAATGTGCTTCTGTTAATAAGAAGGCAAAACAAACAGAAACTCAGCACTGATTTCCTGAGTCATCTGCCTGGTGGGCAAGGGCTAATTTGGTTACAGAGTATCTACTGGGGATTGTTGGCATTTTGCTAGAACTTCATCTTCGGAAGCTGAAGAACTTCCTAGAAGCAAAATCTTCCTTTCGCTCCAAGTTGCCAGCATGAGGAGCTGCCACATCTCTAGAGAAATACTCTAGTAAAATTTCAATCCCTGTCACTGCATGCAGTTAATAAAATGCTATGGCTTTGTTCTTTCAAGACAGAATGAGTGTGCAGCTGTGCAGTAACATCCTGCTCTACATGTCCATTGATGATATTGGTGTAACCAATTACGTGTTTACTTACATGTTGAATGCTTACATTTACCTTCTGATGCATGAGTGGGAAGGAATACACAAGGAAGCTACTGTCTGCATTATGTGGTACTGATGATCTGGTATGCTAAAGCCTATTTTTGGGATTCTTTTTAGTTTCATAGTGCCTTGAGGACATGGTGATGCTAGCTAAGATGTACAGACCATTTCTAACTTAATAGAAGTTTAAGGGTGACACATAGCTTGATTGTGATTAGAGATCAACAGAAAAACTTTAGTCTGACCACAAAACCAGCTTTGTGGTCATGGGTTGGGGAGCCATGGTACCTTTAAAGAAAGCAGGATTCAGCTGTGCTCTTGAATAAGATGATTCCTGACAATGTAAGAGATTTTGAACTGAATCTCAGTCTGGCTTAAGTCCTCTTTATCATCTTGTATTGGTTAAACCTCACTGATAGTTATGGCTACCCTTCAGACTCTCAAATTTGTTGTGAAGCTAGTATACCATGAAATGTTAAGATGCTTGCACTGGGTAGAGCTGGGCCTGCTTTTTCTTAATGAGCACGTTTGGAATTTGAACTTAATTCTACTACATCACCTGAACAGCAGATCATTTCAGATGTAAATTACAGCAACATTTCAAGCTTAAATTACAGTAAAGGACATCTCTTATAACTAGAATAAAAATTATGCTATGGATAACAAAGCAGTGGAGAATCTATAGAAGTTGTTCTTGTTGGATGCCTTCTGAAACTGTTGAATTGCATCCGTCTGGAATTATATGCATACTGTTAATTACTGTTGCTGTAGTGAAGCAGATGGGCAAAATAACCTAAAGATTCCTCTTTAAGCCTTTCATGGTGTAAGGAATTATAGGAGAATTGACTCAAATTTTGTCTGCTGCTGAAAGGGTAGGTCCAAGTGGCCTCAATCTAGAGATGGCACACACCTGGGTTCCTGGAATAACTGTCAGTTTTGCAGCCTTAGGAATCAGTAACTGCCAGAGCTCTGTAAAAAGTGAGCAGCAGTCTGAGAGTTGGATCAGAAGCAATTGTATGTTAGTGAGCTTTGGCTGACTTTGGTCATTTTTATGATGTCAATATGTTTAAATCAGAAGAAACCTAAATGTTGGGTCTTGTGGTCTTGAAAATCAGATATTGTTTTGAACACTGACTCTTGAAAACACCATGTGAGAAAAATTATTGAAGTTCTGCCAGTATTAGTTTGTGTTCTGAAACACTAAGTGTGATCTACCTGTAGCCTGAAGCCTTTAAGGCTTTGCACAAGTGCTTATGTCCTTAGGTCTTTGTACGCATGCATTCGTGTTTGCAATTAAGTGGATTGTAGTAGCACAGTGGATAAACTGACTAAAGGAGCAGTTAAGGGAAGATGTCTCTCACCACTGCTTTTCAAACCTGTTGTTTGATTGATTTCTGGTGTGAGGTTTTTTGTTGAACGGATTTGACAAGTATAATTCCCTTCCCCCTGGGATTCAGACTGTGAAAACTTCAATTGTAGTAGGTCTGCTTTCCTCTACTCTCTATGGTGTGAGTAGCAGAAAATGTTAAAATTGCTTGGTTGGTAAAACTTGTACGATTTGTAATGTAGGTCTCTTTTTTCTTAACAAAATTGACAGCTTTGCAAGTTTTCTGAACACCATTGTGTTAATTATTGAGAAGCCTAAATTCCTTGGTGGATTTAGTCATGGTAATTGAAACAGAAACTTAATTCACAATGTGGATGTGTAAAGCTGGCCTGGCTTTTATCTGGCTATTTAAGAAAGAACAAAATGGCATTAGGCCTCGTGATGTTCTGTATCATAAAGCTTTGTGAAAGAAAAGGAGGGAATTGAACCTTGCCTATCTTTCATGAGTTTCTTCTGCTTTTTGTGGACCAGATAACTTAAGACAGAGAGAGGCAGTCATGCACAGGAGCAGGCAGGACTTCATAGTGGTGGCTTTGCTACATTGAGAGGGGAACATGTTGTCCATGGGTGTTAATGTTTCAGCATAACTGGAGGAGAAACTGTCATTCGAATGTTGCTTTCTCCCAGATTAATTGTCTTTAAGCTAAATAGTCTGGTTCTTGCATTTGATATAGCTAAAGTATTTGTTGTAACATTGAATTTGGGCTCAAAAAATTAATGTGAGCACTTGGTAGAACAAATCCAGTCATCTGAGTTCGTAAGTTTTAATGAGCTTTTCAGGTGTAAACTCCTTGCTCATGTGTATATACATATATATGAGTTTTAGGCTTTATACTACCACATTCCTCTCAAAAAGACCCCACAAATTTACACAGTAGTCGAATATATTTTGGTGGAAAATGATTCTGAAAGACAGATGACCTTGTGTAAGGTTCTTGAAACAATGTACTAGCAGCGTATACCGAGAGCAAGATAAACAATAGGCTTCTGTTCTCTATTTCCTGAAAAAAGCCTGCTCATATTGATTTCCCCATATGTTTTTAGCTGTTTACTCATGGAACGGGGGAAGTTAGTTTTACTAATGAAATAATGCTCTTAGCAGGCATGTCATTCTTTAGGTCTAATTTAACAGCAGTAGCTGCAGTCAAAGTAGTACTTGTTACCTCATTAGGAAAGCAGCAATATGGTATGAAACTGACATAAGAATTACAACATATAACCAAGAAGAGGTGCTGTATCTTTACGTAATATGCGTTTAACAATTTGTTTGAAATTAGTGTGATTTCATTTTGATTGTGACTCCTTATATTGTAGTACATTGGTTTGTGGTTAAAGCTATTTTAATTTTTAAAGGATTCTGAAGTACCATATTAAACATTGAAAAATTGCAACCATTTCAAACAAAATATTTGTGTCTTTTGGTGTTGTTAGATATCAAAAACTAAATGTGGGGACATAAATGAAACTCGGTCAGGTTTTGTCAAAGGTATCTGGAAGATGTAATACTGGCTCTTTCCAGCTTCTCTTCAAAAAACAGGTTAGTCATCCAGAGATTTATAGTCTTGATAGGTATAGAATCATTAAGTTTGGAAAAGATCCCTAAGATCAGCAAGTCAAACCATCTTAACCTGTGTATAGTTGCTTTTTGTTTCAGTGAATTAGTGTTTTATGTCTCCAAGAACTGTAAACTATTATAAACATTCATAGATTCTGAGTCTGCATAAAATCCTTTGGCATCTTCAGAAACATGGTAGGTGACAATTTGTAGTTTTGTGAGAGTTCTCAGATATACAATGATTCCTGAAGAGTAAATTTAAGATGTGTAACAAACTCAGGTTACCATAATAGCAGAATTCCTTAATTACAAAACACCTTTCACAGAAATGTAGCTAGGAGCTTTAGTCTTATGTCATCTTTTCAATCGTCAGTCAGTCAGTACTTTATTAAAATCATAAGAGGAAGGGAGTGGACTTAAATTGCAGAGATAAAAATGAGAACTGAATGTCACTGAAGACAGATGGTATCTTTTAAAGAGATCATAGATCTATTCTAGAGAAATCAGCTGAGACAACTTTTGTGAAACATCTGCCATTCCGCACAAACCTCAGACAATGTTAATCAAGTGTGAGAGTGTGATTGTCCATGCTTCATTTCCTGATCCATGTCTCTCAAATGTATGAGCTATTAGTAAAACATTTCTGTTAAATAAATAAATGAATATGGAAATTCTCTTGGATACTATGCTTTGCTGGATTACTGACTGACTGATATATATTGACAGGGTCCTGTGTGCATTCTGAGGAACACAAGCCAAAATAAATAAAATCCAAGTTTCCTCTCTTTGCTCTTCCTTCCATATTTCAAACTTTTCCAAAGTTTTGGGGATGAAACACTTGTGTATCAAATCTGAAGAGAAAATGTTAGTAACTTTATTAGTGCATATGCATTAGCAATGTGGGCCATGTCTCATTACTTTTTTGAAGGAACTGATGGGAAAAAGAACTTTGTAAATTAAATGAAATTCTGTGCTTCTTCCTAGATGTGGAGAGGTATTTTAGAATGAGGTACTGGAGAACTGTGTATATGGGCTACTAGTGTACTTAACAGAGCAATTTAAAAACAAAAAGCTAAAATCCCATGTACGGACTTCAATAAACTTCAGTTGTGAAAGTTTTGTGAAAGATTACCAAAACTTCAGGATCAGGATTATGAACCCACAAAATATCTATATGTGCTGTCTGACAATTTCATAGGTTGTAATTCATCCTCCTTGAGGGGTGTGTATAGTTTCCCACTTCTTAAAGTATCTTGAATAGAGCTACTATTACTGTTTGTTACTACCACAAAGACTGCTTCAGTAATTCGATAGCTTGAATTGCTTGGAACATGCTTTGCTCAAGTTGTCAAGTTCTTGAGAAACACTAAGCTCTTTAATTTTTATAAAATGTCTTCTCATAGAAAGCTAGTGATCTGATGGCTACTTTACACACCAGATTCAGTGTGTTTTCTGGAAGAGATATGCATCTTTTCTATGGCTCTGTCATTTGTAGCCATGCTGCAAAGAATTCTAACACTATGGATAGTTGATTGAACTCCTATTTTCTTTATGGTTATGAAGAATTGCAGGTGTTGTTATCAGAGTAACTTGGATGTCTACATTATCTTTCCTCACAATTTCTATTTTCAGTAAGTGACTCACATTTTTCATTGTACCTCAAATGAAGAAGTGATAGAAACTGAAATTTGGGATTTATTGTTTGTGTATGTGATTTAATGTTGAAGAACTTTCAGGAGTTCTTGCTTAAGGAATGAAACTGATGTCACTGAATACTAATCTCTTCCCAGCAATTTTCATTCTTTGGATTTATAGGCATATAGCATAATGGTACATTTATTTGAAGATCTGCACCTCTACCAAGCAGATTCAGTTAGTCTGTCCTTGCATTTTTGCAATGCTTTTTTGGCATCTATGCGTAATTAGATATCCCATTCTGTCCAAGAGAATGGCCATAGAGATTCAAATCTCCATTGCTTCTCTGTAATGAAGGCTACTGAAAGTACATCTGAGACACTGAAAATAGATTCGTTCTTATTTATAAGATCCTTCAAGATCATGTGTGTCCAAGACATTTTCAAGACTAGCTCAAGTCAAAGCATGTGGTTAATAGGCTTCACTTCTGTCTTCACAGAATTTTTCTGTAATCTGGGAAATGCTCATTTCAGAGATGAAAATCAGCTCTAGATCAATGAATATACTCTCTAAAAAGTGATACAGAATGCATGTATGTTTTCCTGTGTTCTCTAGTGTTAAATTCAATGAATTCACTTGTGTACATTATCACATTACTAGAATGTCTTCCATAACTATTACATGATCAGGACAGAAACATGTATAAAGTAATATAAAGAATGAAGAAATTACATGTGGCTGTATAGAATATAAATTCACCTGCATAGTTAGTATGTACACAGGTTGACTCCACAAAAGAATCAGCAATTGCACATGAAGTTTCAGTGAGTCAGTTGTGTTTGTTAGATCTATGAACCAAGTGAAAATCGAGATTTATTATGTATGAATCTATGAAGTGGAGACTTGCAGAATTGTAGGGGCTGGAAGGGACGTCTTGAGATCACCTAGTATGCTCTGTCCATCAGTGTGTTGAACAATTTTCCATCTCTCATCTTCCATTTTAACAGAACTCTGACTTGTGGAGCCTAGTCACAGAGTCTGTAGGGACCTGAAACAAGTGCCTAAATTAGCACTGTGTGCTAAACACTTCTTGCTCATCTTTGATTGTTTAATACCATCAATTAAACTGTGGCAGTGTGACACTAAAGAAGTGTTGATAAATGTTAAATTTGGTGTTACTGATGGCTATAAAATGGGAAATATGATTGTTTCATCCTTTGAGAAGTTTATGGTGATAATCTTGGTAATGGTGACAAGCTTGTTTTAGTAACAAACTTGTAAATAATTAGATTTATTGGAGAACTAGACAGTATTATTTTGTCATGCTTAATAAGTGCTATAAACACTAATAACAAACAATTTAAGCAAAACAAGTTGCAGAGAGTGTATAAGAAATAAGGTACTGAAAAGGGTTAAGTACTAGCAGTAAGTCACTGTCCTGAGAAGATGCTTCAGAAAAGAAATATTGCACTGCAAGACATCATGTATTGCATTTATTTGGTACTGCATTGGTATTTCTAATGATCTGAAAATATTCTTCTATTTTTGTATTTGCATGGTAATAGAATTCACCGTACAAGTATTTGTTGGCTTTGCTTGTAACTACCAGTTTAAAGCAACAAGGACAGTAAGGCTGTGTAGCATCTGGCTCTGCTGTTTTGTTATGTATAAATCATGTAGTTAACTTAAACTGTATTGTGTTTTCTACCTGATCATTACAACTCTTAAGCTGGCTGTAACTTATGCAATCATATGTTGTCTAAAACTTCAGCTGCTGGAGCCCTTAAGTCTTTATTCATCAACCTCAAGTTAAATATAAACTGAGCTTTTTAACTTCTGTGAGTTGGTTTTGTAGTAAAATAACAGTCCTAAACTAGCCATGCGGAATAAAACAACAATAATGATTAATATGTCAGGCTGGTATTTAGTATTAGATGGGTTGCATTTTTCAGTTCTTGTAGCTGCTCTTAACTACAACAGCACTAAAAATGGTTGGGATCAAATGGAAGGAATTTTCCTGAGCTAATAAAAAAATAATGTATACTTCTTTTTCACACTTGACAGCTTTTTTCACTATTGTTTTATTTTATTTTTATTTTATACAAGTCTTTGGGAACAAATGTGCTCATTTCTGCTTGTTTTTAGCAATGAGTATTGTTTTATCACTTAAGTAGTTTGAATAGCCTGTGGTTGGCATCCTGTTTAACTTTCAAATAGTTACTCTTCAGAAATAAATTTTAACATTGAGGTGATCCATGTCTTCTAAAATGATTTCAAAGGAGGCTACTTGGCTAAGTAGAATATGATTGGAAGTCCAGTATTTAATGAAATATTTAAAATTTCTACCACATTAGACTGTTATAGATTTTGAGTGGAGAGTAACATCAGATCTTGTTCATTTTGTTCAAAGAGAAGTTGCAAGCTTTTTGGTGACAGTATTTAAAAGTGTGGACATACATGAAGAGTTATTCTGGTGAAGCAATGTCAGTTTTATCTGCTGATAAAGATAGAGAACGTTCTTTCTATAACAGAAAAAGTTCCCAAAAGTTAAATGGTAGTTTTCCACTGGCTTACCTATGTTGTCTGAAACTTCAAAGTGATTAGCAGGTGGAACAGAAATGTTTAATGCTTTCTTAGCCTCTGTCTTCAACACTAATGATAGGCTGTAAGACCCCTGGAGCCCTGTGCTGGAGAACTGTGACTGTGTTAATGATAAACTCCCAACCAACCCCAAACTTGTGTGGGATTTGCTGGTCCACCTAATTGTGTAAGTCCCTGTGGCACAGTGGAATTCATCTCAGGGTACTTCAAGAGCCGGCTGATGTCATCGTGAGGCCTCTCTCTATTACTTCTCGGCAGTCTTGGGAGTCAGGAGAGGTCCCAGTTGACTGAAAGCTGGCAAACATTGCCCCAGATTTCAAGAAGGGCAAGAAGGGAGAGACTGGTAATTACAGACCTGTCCGACTCACTTCAGTGCCTGGTAAAATTATGGAGATAATTCAGGGATTTACCGAAACACCTGAAGGACAATGCAGTCATTGGTTGCAGCAAGCTTAGGTGTGTGAGGGATAGTCCTGTTTAACAAATCCAATTTCCTTTTATGACAAGGTCACTCACCTAGTTGACTAAGGAAAACCAGTTGATGCTTTCTTTTGATGTTTCAATGAGGCTTTCAATACTGTTTCTCACTTTATCCTTCTGGGCAAAATATTCAGCATGCAGTTAGACAAATATGTAATGCAGTAGGTGAACGATTGGCTGATGTGGGGGCTCAAATGATTAAAGTAAATGGGGTTACATCACTTGTGACTGGAGACTAGACACAAATGGAGTTATGCAGGGTTCCATTTTGGGATCAGCTCTCTTTAGAGTTTTCATCAATAACTTGGAAGCAAAAGTTAGAAGTATAGTAAGTTAGTTTGTGGACACATGAAACTGGGAGGACCTGTTGTCTTCCTTGACAGTCTGCAGAGAATTACTGACAAATTATGGGGCTGAGCAGCTACCAGCTGCATAAAATTTAACAAGAGCAAGTGCTGGACTCTGCACTTGTAATGAGGCAACTCTGCGTATATATGTACAGACTGGGGGGATGACAGGCTGTGGAGTGAGGCCCTCACAGAAAGGGGTCTTGTGGTTCTGATTGACAAGTTGAATCTGAGTCAGCACTGTGCCCTGGCAAAAGGGCCAACCGTATCCTGGGGTGCATCAAACCCAGCATTGCCAGCAGAACAAAGGAATGGATTGTTCCACTCTGCACTGTGCAGGCTTGCCTTGAGCATTATGTGTGGTTTGGGGCACCACAATGTATGAAGGATATAAAACTGTTAGAGTCTCCAAAGGAAAGCTATGAAAACGGTAAAGGGTCTGGAGAACAAGATGTGTATGTATGATGAGCAGCATCTGAGGTCCCTTGACTTTTTCAGCCCAGAGAAGAGGAGGCTGAGGAGAGGGTCATTTGGGTGTTAGGAAACAATTCTTCACCAGAGGGTGGTCAGGCAGTGGAGCAGGCTCCCTAGGACAGTGGTCACAGCCCCCAAGCTGCTGGAGTTCAGGAAGCATTTGGACAATGCTCAGACATAGCGTTTGAATTTTGGGTGGTCCTGTGTGGAGCCAGGAGTTGGACTCAGTGATCCTTGTGGATCTCTTCCTTGTATATTCTCTGTATATTCACTTTGTTGTCTTTTATATTAATTTTTAGTATTTTTAAGCAATGAGAATTTTAGCTGGTTGTTTGGGGTGCAGCAGAAGGGGACAGGAAGATCTTTGTTATGTCACTGAATGGCCTGTGGAGTGCCAGCAGCTTCAGGTCACTAAGCTTTCAAAATAGCACTGGTGCTGAAACTGGAAATTTAAGCTGAAAACTAAAAACAAAATTCTGGCTTCAATCTTAGAAAAATTTTTCCTCAGATGTTTATGCCAGCCAGATATAATACGCTTAAATACAAATAGAAGTGCATTCTTCTCAGATGAACCTTTGTATAAAGAAACCAAAATAACTTTAGGACTGACTAAACTCAAGATATACATTTTAACATTAAAACAAATTCATAGTGATTCTTTTCCTGAGGTAATAGTCTTCAAGGCTCCAACTCTGCTTTTAACAGTATTTTTCTTTATCATCTACAGTGCTTGTTCCCTACACTTTCTGTTTCTTTAAATGAAATTTGGGCAATGAACAAAGGTTTTTGCCATGAATGTCTTAATTTTTTAGCTTCGGTTGGTAGGCTGCTTCTTCTGTATTGCATTTTCATTTTGATTGTAGGCAAGCCATTGCTGCTGAAAATAGCTCAAATGTGCTTTGAACAGAAACAGCCAGCAGCTCAGCTTCTTTCTTTCTCTTTCTCTTGCAGACTCTTGCATATGAGTTTAATTTTTTGAGAGAAACCTTTGTAAAGGGCTAAATAAACAAGATCTGTGCATACAGAAAACTTTTACTTCCTCTTCACTCCTCTGCACTTGAGACGCAACTAAACTTGTCTGTCTGGTAAGTCATATTTTTCTAAAGGATTTGTCTTTTTTCCTGTCCTTACGACTTGCATTCTTGAGTTTCTCATTAGTGTTCAGAGAAAATCAGTTTCTGTTTGTTGATAGTTCTGCATACACTATGTGTAGAAGTGTGAAGACCTCTATAAAAGCATTACTGCCCTGCTTTTGCAAACCTGAAAATACTACCTTTTAAGTCCATAGGATGCTCTGGGATAAGTAAGTTTGTAATTTTTGTTGATCAAGTAGTTCATTTTCAATTTGTTGTAATGAAATTGTTTAGTATTTTAAAGCAGAATTGGTGATTATTCTTTGCTGAAATTCCTTACCTATTTGGATGTTCTGTACTTAGAGAGTGAAATTGAGGATTTTTTATTTCTTTGTGTTAAGTTAGATTTCAGAAATAATCTTCCCAGCAATTCATTCATTACTCCTTGCTTGCAGGTTAAATTTTGTGTAGATAAAATAGGTACATGTTATTGATGCAACTGTATTTTTTCTTGGTAGTATGCTCCTATGTCATAGGTTGGCAAACATACTTGTCAGTCATTAATGTAATTCTGAAACTGTTCCATTCGTGATGTTTTTTGGGTTACGGTGTTTCTTCACTTTTTAACTTTACTTTTTAACTTTTTAACTTTACCACCAAAGTTGGTTTTGTCATTTATTTTCTGTTTTCACTCTAATTTGTGATTCAAACAAAGAAAACATCTGAAGAGCAAAAGTGGTTTGTTTTGGTTTTCTTTTTCCCCTCAATGTTATGGCTTTAAGCAGTTGCTTAGGATAAGTGGCAGCCTATGTAAACCCAGTCTGTCTGATCACAAATACTGGCCCTTTGGTTTACCACAATTACTGTGTTCTTGCATCCTGCATCTCTTAGTTCTGCATAGTTCATTTTTCAGGCTTTGCTATTGCTTTAAAATTAGTTTATTTCAAAAACATGCTGAAAACCAAGTCATTTTTAGAAGTAGTTCTACATTTAATGTAAACCATCAATTCTGCATTTTATTTTCATAGGAAAAGAAAAAAGTAGATCAGAATTCTTATATAAAATGGAAAATCCCCAAACATTTTATTTATCTAATAGAGAAATTCTGAAGTCTACATATACATTTCATATGGAATATATGTGTGTTTGTATATATATATGAAATAAAGAGATCTGTGTCAAGTAGAAATTTTTTTGACAGTTCTTCAAAACCAGTAAAAACAAATCTGGTTGAGTTCATTACAAGAATGTTTTATTCTCATGAAGTTCTTTATGGTGAGGGTGACGGAGCACTGGAACAGGCTTCCCAGGGAGGTTGTGGAGTCTCCTTCTCTGGAGATGTTCAAGTCTCACCTGGATGCCTACCTGTGCGACCTGGTTTAAGGAACCTGCTTTGGCAGAGGGGTTGGTCTCGATGGTCTCTAGAGGTTCCTTCCAACCACTACAATTCTGTGATTCTGTGATTAAATTCTGCTTTATATTCCTTAGAGTAGAAGATATTGAAGGTGTATCCGTCCAAAACTATAGGACTTTTGTTACCAGTCTCATTTTCTACTTCAAATGAGATACTCTTTCTCCTTTCCTGTCTCGTTTTCAATCAACCCATATTCCTTTTACTTCAAGATTTTCTCTGGTCCTGTCTTACTGCCACACATAAAGCTGATTCCCTAGTCCTGTAGATCTATCACCCTGTCCTTTTATTTCCTAAGTTCTTTTGAGCATCCAAGTATTCTAGTGCACACTTTACTTATGTTGATGCTTTTCCTGTAAAAACTAGTTTTTAGTCTGTGACTTATTCAGAAGAATCTGAAGCTTTCAGAAGAACTTAAGACCCTTCAGAGGCCCTAGTGTAGTTATCAATTGAGTGGATATGTATATAAGGGAAGCACTGTAAAACTTTGAGACCAAAATACATAGTTGGAAGAGAAATCAGGCTGTATAATAGACAAAATATTTAACCAGTACTTTCAATCAAAGCCAACACTTGAATTGTGTAAAGTAAGGGTCCAGGATAATTTATGAATGATCACTTTTTACTTCACATTACTTTAAAGTTGCAATACAAGACCATGTTTTTGTTTGGCATTTAACTTTTAACTGAGTAACAGAACTGACATACAGAAACTTTTATTTGGCATACTGACACAACCCAAATTTTAGCTAAGTGAACTTGGCACTAAATTCAACTAAAGGGAAAAGAAATCTCAAGAGAGCAATGGAATTTCTTTCTTTGCGTAAGTATACCTCTGCATTCATGGAGAACAAACAGTAACATTTTGTGCAGGTTTCTGCTTTTGACAGTGTGTCTTTGTTCACTTCCCAAATGTGGTGTCAAATACATTGGGGAAAAAAAATAAAATGAAAAATGCAAATACAAGAATTTATTTAATTATATGGTCCAAATGAACACTTTAGGTCTGGAACTGACTAGCACTGTTATTGGTAGTTCTTTAAAGGCTTGCTTTCAACAATTTAGATTATATAAATAAATATGCTCTGTCAGTTTTTAAATAGAGGGGTGGGAGGCAAGTTTATAAGTTTTTTATGGAGTTTATAAGCTTTTTATGATAGACTTATTTGATCAAAGAGAATTTCAGAAACTATTTCCTTCTTGTCCATACAAAAGTTTCCCAACCAGTATACAATTTTACTTGAGCTGTTATCTCAAGAAATGGCTCTGATAAAGATCTTTGATTAATATACTGCTTATTCACAGTGCATCAATGTTGCTTTCACAGGGTGGTCTAAGTTCAAGTCTTTTATTAATGGCAGCTGGATTTTATGGTATCCAAATTGCCCAGTTTCTGATCTGATAGAAGAATTTCAAAGGCATGTGAGTTCAAATTGCATGTGACAATACTGGAGAAGATTAAAAGTGTTTTTGAAAACTGGAGAGCAAAATCTGATGATAAAGGAGATTAATCTGAATGATCACCTTACAAGGGATATATGGGGATGAACGGATATGTCAATTTTGAAGCACCTGAGAGAGCATGTGTCCTTATGTGAGACTCTGCACTTGTTTCTGCACTGGACTTATGTGTCCTTGTATTCTTCTGAGGTGGCAATAGATCTGTAAAAGATTCATTATGTCATTAGGGACCTCATTAATTGTTACAGAGGAGTGTGATTTCAATGATACCCTGGCACATTGGTTATCTGCTATCTGCAGGGGAAAAAAAAAAAAGCCAATAGAAAAACAATGGTAATGCCTCTGATATTTTGATAGATCCAGGTGAGCTAGGATCCAGCAGCATTCCCAGTTTCTTACAGTGGCTTGTGCTTATCATCCTTAATTATCATCCTTAATTGTCATCATTAATCTGTGATTTGAGAAAGAGGATAAAATTAATCACAAATAACAGTAAGCATCTTGTGTTTGGGTTACTAATTTTTGACCACAATGTCAAAGCATTTTGTTGCTTAACCTTTCTAAAAAAAATTTCTCTTTTGAGATGAGCATTTTTCAGATTCAACCTCGATACTATTCATTTTTTATCATTAAAAAAAAATAAGAAAAAAACCCTAGAAGTTGCCAATGAGAATCAGATTTTTGCTTTTAAACCAAACAGAAGTGTTTTAATTTTCAGTTCTTCCTTGAGCTTTCAATTTTATTTGACTTTGTATTTAAACAGTATTGATTGGTAATAATGAAGTGGTATGGTACATAGTAGAGAATATCATTGTTTAGCCACCTGTGTGATTGTATTACAAAGATAAATATGCTTATACGTTCTCTCTTTCTAAGTAGGCACTTAAACATATATCTAATAAGTATGCTTTAATCTCACATAAGACATTGCCTGCTTATGTTAGTGTGCAAGACTGCGTTTGTCTCTGTATATCAGTGGCTTAAGTATTAGTATGTATTCATTAGTAGCTTACTTTCCTTAATGTTTAATGCTGTTTAGAAGGCTATGTCTTCTTTATTACTGGAGGCAACTTGAGTACTTAGGCTTCCTTGACTCTTGAGATTGTTAATCAGTTGTTCCACAGAAAGGTTTAAGAATTGCTTCATTTAAAAGCACAACTCAATAGCTTGTCAGGTTTTGTTTTAAAGAAAACAAACGAAAAAAACAAGTAGGTGACAAATGTATTAGTAGCTCTATCCTTGTGAAGATGAAAGCATCATTCATGAGTTACTGCATACAAGAAGTCTCTGTGTTAGAAGTGCTCCATGAGGAATACTTGCGTAGGATTCCCTAACTTTTGTGATTCTTCTCAATAGATCTAAGAGAGCTGAGAGTTAAGTGCTACAAAATGCACCTGGACTCAGTACGTGACCCTAAATCGCTATCAGTTCTTTTCTTCTTCTGGAGAGCAGATCTCTTATCTGCGGGCTGGAGAGTTAAAAAAATCAAAGTAGAAGAGAGGACAGCAGAGATAGTAGGTTTTCTGTCTTATCCAATCTTATTTACTTCCCTGGGAAGAAAGGAAGCAGAGGAGACAAGAAAAGGAAGACAAGCTCTGTTGCCCTCGTGAAAGGACTTATCTGAAGGGCATTAAATTTAGAGGCCCAGTTCTTCTGTATTGATAACACCAAGTCTTTCAGTGCTGTTGAGTCTTATCTGTAGATTTATTTCTTTCTGTGGTTTTTATACCCTTCAATATCTAGAATTCAACATGTAGAAACTTTCTACAATGTTTGTTAACCAAATGAAGGCAATAGGACCTTGCTGTCAGAGGCCAGTGGATTTCCAAATGGTGTAAAGTTACCTTTTGATTTCTACATCCCATTTGGGTTCTGCGAGTAGTAAAGCTTTTCAGTGTTGAAGAGAAGGCTGATGGTTGATTTTTGAAAAATTACAGCTCTGATCCAAAGTAATAATTTAAAATTGAGAATGAAACTTTAAACTTTGTTAAAAATGAGGAGATTTAGTGAGTATTTTAAGCTTATTATTATGGCTTAGAGTCTGGGAACATTCTAACATACTCAAAGACTGCTGCCTTTGTGAAAAACAGTGGTTAAAACTGGCCTTAGCTTAATTCTGCTTCCAGAATGCTAATACTGA